CACCACAGGACTCTACTGAGGGTGACATAAAAATTTCATTTGGAAGAACAAATAAACAAGAATAGCCAAGAAAACACTGAGAAAGAAGAGAGGAAGGAGGGCTAGCCCTGATATTAAAACCTACCAACAAGCCTCTGTCATTAAAACAGCTTTGCTCATAAGTAAAGCAGATTTAGACTGTGCTGAGATGTTTTCTCACCTCTGCAAGTGGCAAAGACTCACAAATGTGACACTTTATTGGTGAGGTCTCACACATTTCTGGTAAGAATACAAAACAGTACAGACCCTGGGAGGAAAATGCAGGGATGCCCAGCAAGATGTCATGTGCATTTATGTGCATTTACCCTTTGACCTAGAGCTCCCACTTCTAGGGATCTATCCCATAAAAACCCTGGGAAAACTGTGAAAAGATGTCTGCAGAAGACTTCCATTGTGGAACTATTTTTAATAGCAGAAGACTAGAAACAAGAACATAAACTATGGCACATCCACTGACGCATGTGCGAAAGTAAAAAAGAATGAATACCCACGCTACTTTGGGCGATGTGGGAGTGAGGTGAATTTATTTTGTACGCGGGGTAGATGTGAATTTTGGGGGGCTAGAGGGCATACTGTAGTAGGCTGAATGGCAGCCCTAAAGATATGTCCACCTGGAACCTGGGAATGTGACCTTATTTGGAAAGAGTCTTTGCAGAAGTAATTAAAGATCTGGAGATGAGATCATCCTGGATTAACCATGTGGGCCCTAAATCCAATGACAGGTGTTCTTATAAGAGACAGAAGAGAAGATAGGGAAAAACACAGAGGGGAGGGTGATATGAAGATGAGGGCAGAAATGGATTGCCAGCAGCACCAGAAGCTGGAAGGGGCAGGAAGGATTCTCCCTTAGAGTCTTTGGAGGGAGTGTAGCCCTGCTGACACCTTGATTTAGACTTCTGCCCTTCAGAACCGACAAAGAATACATTTCTGTTGGTTTGTTGTTTGTTTTCGTTTTCCAGGAATATTTAATGACAAGGTAGATAACATATGCTTATGTAACATGTAATTTTATGTCACCATAGGTAAAGCAAAATGTCCTGTGTCACTGGACTTGCTTTTATGTTTATTTCAGTGTAATTTAAAAAATACTGTATAATTTCAGGCTTGGCACTTGTAGCTCAGCAGCCAGGGTGCCGGCCACATACACTGAGGCTGGTGGGTTTGAACCTGGCTGGGGGCCTGTCAAACAATAA